CTAAAGCTAGAATAATGGTCTCAGAGAACAATCTGGACTTTATAGATAAAGAGATTGAATTCCAGAGCAGTTACTGCTGTCATTAGTTGCCTTCACCGTTTTGAACTCTTGTGCAGAGTAAAACTGAACTCTATAGACTTTTAAAGGCTGTGACCTTTCAGAAGCAGATCATCAAGCCTGATTTCTGAGGTGCATCTGTGTGGGTTTGAACTACTAACCTTCCTGTTAGTAATCTGGTACTTAACTGTCTGTGCTACTTAGGGACGGACTTCTGGAGAAGTGGTTACCAACATACTGAAGTCCCATAGTGTTTTCTCGTCTATCTGAGACTAGAACAGGGTCCACCAATGACTAATTCAGTGCTTTCCCCACCACCTTCCAGCTTCCTGTTAGGAGGGAGACAGGATGAAGCATAGCTTTTGAGCTTGTGAGTTCCCACGTTTCTTAAGAGGCAGCTGGAGGACTATAGAGCTGGTTGGTTTGCACTTAGATGGCGAACATTTAAAATGTAATTTGGAAAAGTAGGCATGCCCTGAAAAATTGCAGCATAATAATGATAATGTTATGAACAATAAATACTCTGGCCACTCTGGGATCTGGAGTTAGACTCATAATCCCCTCTGATGTACAGATGGCAGCAGGATGGAGCTGCCTTGAATCAGGGCTGGGACAGTGAAGAGGGACAGGGAGCCAGGAAGTCTGCAATTTTATTGACTTATCCACCTGGCCTAGGTGAGACCCCTAGGCCTGGGACAGCCAGGAATTGGACCTCTGCTATCTCTCTGAGAGCTTTTTGTTTTGTTTAGAGGTCAATTACTTCCCATTTGAGGAACTTGTGAACATTAAGAGGTGACTGGAGTGATGAGACAGAAGGATGCAGATAAGAGCCTTGATTGCTTACAGAAAGCTCCTTGGTGAAAGCCCTGCCACAGATAAGCAAGTTGTTGGGAGGAGACACACAGAAAGGGGCCCCCTTGAGTGCAGAGGAGATTTCAGAGGCAGAAAATGGGCCTAGGTGGCTTGGGGAGCTGGAAGAGGGATGCATTTTAAAGTGATCCCAACAAAGTGGGGAGGGGGGAGAAGACTGTGAGGTGGTACCCCCACCCCTTCATCGCCCTGATCTCCTTTCAGAAAGAAACTGTTAGTATCCTGGGAACCTCAGACTTGTGTGCTGTGCTCTGGACAGTGCAGCCAGCTACATTGCACTAGGAGAAAACTTTTTAGGTCAGAAAAAAAAAACCAACAAACAATGTATTTTAAGCAATCTGGCGAGCACACAGAAAGTATCTCAGGCCAAGGAAGAACGGAAGGAGCTTGAATGTAGACATAAGCACCGCTTTCTCCATCTTCAGCTGCTGCTTTTTATACTCCTTCTGTCATGTGAAGGGAGCTCTGGGTGGCAGGGTCCCTCCTCAGGAACCATGCTGCTAACCTCTGGGGCAGTTTGAATCTGCCAGAGGGAAGGAAGATGGACTATCTCCTCCTGTGCAGTTTGTAGTCTCTGAAAACCCACTGGAGAATCAGCTATGAGTCTGTTTCAACTTACTATCTTTTGAATTTTAACTGAACTGAATGCAGTCTCGAAATTCGTAGAAGATAATTTTCAGTTTTACTTCAAACTACTATAAAATACTACCCTGACTTTAGATGTGTCCATTTTCCTCCGTTCTCAGTCACAGTGTCTTTCTGGAGCCTCTCCTGGTAGGTGATGTTAATACACTAATCACCAGGTTTAGCCTGCCTCCTCTGTGCAATCTTTTCAAGGTACCCTTACTTGTACTCAATTTCCTTTCTCAGGGGAGAGCTTACTCTCTGTCCTTTCACTCTACATGTAGTAGATACCACCTTATATTTTTAGGCATTTTTCTCAAGCTAGTCTTGCTAGTCAAATTAGATCATAAATCCTCTAAGTCTGGCAGCCAAATCTTATTTTCCTCTTGTGTCACCACCAGGAGTGTTGCATGATGCCTGAATTACTGGTGATTGATCTAAGCCTTTCTCTCCCTCATTCCATGTCTTTTCATGTGATACACAAAGCTGGGGCGGAGGGTGGAGGGGGAGTCTTTTACTTGCATAATTCACAGATGCAAGGACTGTTCCAAATAGCACACACAGCAAACACTACTTACATTCCTCTGTTAAAGGTGGTGTAGGGTAAAGGGAGTGACATTTATTAATAGCCTCCATACCTCAAAGATCTGCATTTCCAAAGACCTTACACTAAAAATCTAAACCATTTTTAGAAATTAACATGTGATTTAAAATTCTGGCTTTAGAAGTAGTTTAATCTAATTCATTTAGCAATTTAGGGTCAGAAAGACTGTTAGAGACAGCAGAGAGACTTGGGCTCAATTATGAGGGAGAAAGATAGGAAGAAAGATAGAAAGTCTTTCCTGTTAAGATTTACACCCTTGCAAATTCAATGGAGGGTTGCCAGGGGCCAGAATCCACACAAACTTAGGTGGGTTTTGGTTTGTGAAAAATATAACATTAGTATTTATAGAATACATTTTTTTCCTGTTGGAAATAAACTCAAAAGTTAAAGAAGAGTGAGCATAGTATATAACAATTTTCTCCTAATGGAGAGTTGAATATATTTTATCTCAGCTTAACTGAGGCCTATTGAAATGTCCAAGTTTAAAGCATGCACACTGCATTTTTTAAAATATCATGTGTTAACACTACCTATAAGTGAAGAATGCTGGCACTGTTTCTAAGTATACTTTTATTAGTAATGAGAAGGGAGAGAGAAAAGAGAACAGATAGAAATAAAAAAAAAAGGAAAGAAACAGTAGTGAAAAAAATGTAAAATATTTATTCTTGGGTTTTCACTTAAATGCAGAAAGCTCAAAACTTTTAAACTGTAGAAAAATATCTAATCAAAGGACTTGAAAAGACATTTCACCAGAGAGGAAGTTCAAAGGGCCACCAAATACAAGAAGAGAAGTGATTTATATCTGTGCCATCAGACGGGTGAAAATAAATACCACAAAAAGATCCTACTTTTTAAAAAAGAAACATATATTTTTTTTCACTTCCACCAGCACACTTAATATTTTAATAAAACAAAACAAGAACTCAGAAAATGGAAGTTTTAGCAAAGATTTGGGGACATAGGCACCCTTATCCATTCCAGATGGGAGTGCAAAATGGTACGATTGTGGGATAACCCTGTGACAAAATGTTCTTTGGAAAATGAAAACTGGAATTGGCTTACCCCGCTGCTGTTGAGTTGATTCCAGAACATAGTGAACCTCCATTGGTTTCAATGCTACACATTTATTTATATGGAAAGAGAGAGCCCATCTGTCTTCCAAAGAGAGGCTAGTAGATTCAAACCACTGATCTTTAGGTTAGCAGCCTAACACATTACACACTATTCAAGCACTATTCACAATAGCAAAAATGTAGAAGCAAACTACATACCTAACAACAGCAGAATGGATAAACAAGATATAGTGTACACATACAATGGGCTACTTCTCAGCCAGTACAAGAAACAAATTCTTGATCCATGCTACAGCATGGACTAGAAGGCATTATATGAGGGAGCTCTAGTGGCCTAGTGGCAAGAAGTTACACTGTAATCCCAGAGGTAAGGGTTTGAATCCACCTGCTGGAGAAGGAGGGGAAATCTCCTCCTGTACCAGTCAGATCCTATTTGACAGTACACACACACACACACACACACACACACTAAAATAAAACAAAACAAAACAAAACCTAGAAGGCATTATATGGAGTGAATTAAGCCAGTCACAAAAGAATAAATATTATATAACCTCACTTATATAAGAAGACAAGAAAAGGCAAATATATAGAGATCAAAGTTTCTTTATGGTTACCAAGGGTGGAAGGAGAAGGGGAAAGAAAAGATTAATGATGTAGAAATAGCGCATTGGTTAAGGATAGTGTTGCACATCAATGATTAGAATTGCTATCAATAAGTTGTATTCTTGAAAAAAGCTGAAGTGGAAAAAGTTGTTTGATGGATATATGTACAGGAATGACAAATAAACAAAGCAAAATCAAGGCAGCACACACACACACACATTCAACAAAACACAATAAAAGAAGAGCTGCCAAGCCTGCTTACAAACAACCTAACACTTTATGAGATTTGGTTCTTTGGTTTGGAGATTCAGGGTCATGATTTGACAGGACAGGCCAGTTTATTAACCTAACACCAATTTTAGTGCTTCTGGCCCACCTTCTAATTTGTTTCAGAATGTCTCGGATCTTAAAAGCTTGTAAGGGGCCATCAAAGGGACAAAAGTTGATCTCTATTTTTTATGTCACTGGCTTTTCCTAATGCAGATTTTAGAAACTGGGTATGTTCTGAAAGAAAGCTAAAAATAAAAAAAGAAAGTGAGAGGGCAAGGGAGGTGTGAATCTGGTAATCCATTTCCCCACCACCACCACCTATTAGTTTGTCCACTGTGATAGCTTGCTTTTCTCTGTTGCTGAAAGCTATGCCACAGACATTTCAAATACCTGCAAGATCACCCTCGGTGGACAGGTTTCAGCAGAACTTCCAGACTAAGAAAGAGATTAGGAAGAAAGCCCTGTTTATCTACTGCCAAAATGCATCCAAAGTTATGGATCCTAGCAGTGAACTGTCCAATGTTGGGGTGGATGATAAGCCTCCTAAATTAGAAGGAACTGAACAATACTCACAATGGACTCAAATATAGCAAGGATCAAAGGCACAGAACCAGGGACTTTTTCTTCTGCTGCCCAAGGTCACTCTGAGTTAGAGCCACGAGGAGCCCCGGTGGTGTAATGCTTTAGATAGTGAGCTGCTAGCTGAAAGGTCCCCTCAAGCTCATCCAGAGAAAAGATAAAAGATAAGCAACTTGTCCGTTGAAACTGAAACGGATAGAATCCACTGCAGGGAAGCGGGCTTCTTGGTTTAAGAAATAACACAACCTAGTTTTATTTCCTTAGGCTCTGAAGTTGTGGGTTTCATTTTGACTTTAATTTGGAGTTGTTTAGAATACTTGAGAAGAGCACAGGCTCGCACACATGCAGACTCTTACACACCCACACAAATACACCCATGCGCGCAGGTGGTGTATATACCTGGGATGCTGTTCTGTATACAACAGGTAAAATGCAAATAACGTGAGAGGACACCAGAATATAGATGATATTCCCAAAGAGAAATCCTTCGGCTCCCTGAAAAAGGAGCTACCAGACATTCAGGATCTTCTTCCTCTCTCTCCTTCTTCCTACCCTCAACCCGTTCTTATTCCCTAGAAGTACGTTGTTCCAAACCAGCCGTCCAGCCCAGTGACTGTCCCCCACTCCGTGTTGCACACAAAACACCTCTCAGGCTCCTGAGTTTGAAGCCTGCAAAGCACCCAGTGGAGCTCCAACATTCACTATGTCTAGGTGTTGCACTGCTGAAGGCACGCAGTTTGAATCCATCTGCTGGTCTGCAGGAGAAAGATGGCGCAGTCTCCTCCAGTGCGATTAACTGCCTCTGAAAAGTCGCTGAAGAGTCAGCTGTGGGTCGGTTATGGCTCCACAGCACAAAACAATAAGAGGCAACCTTGACTTTCTTCTTCCCGTGTCTTCGCAGCGGACCACCTCCCTCACCTCCCCTTTCTCCCTTTCTCTTAGGGAAAGAGCTAATTTTCCAAGGCCCAAGAAGTGGAATGCCTTGGTGAGGGAGGGGTACAATTTACAATTCCAGAGATCTATCCGGAGGAGCAGCTCGGTGGGGGATCCTCTTCCCTAGGAAGAGACAGGAGCAGGGACAGGCCTCAGGGTCTGGCTGTTTGGGGTGCCCTAGAAGAGTCAACTCACCAAGCCCGGACGCCCTGCAGCGTGGTGGGCAGGTGGCTCTCCGGGCTTCCCCCAGTGTCTTCTCCACTGAGGCCTCTGCAGGCCAGGGGTGCAGGCAGCGCGGGGCCCAGGAACGCCGCCGCGAAGGTGCCGCAGCCTGCCCCGCACGGGGCCACGAAGCCTCCTCTGTAGTTGGAATAGGGCACCGTGACCGGGCCGTAGCGGTCCGAGAAGCCTGGAGCCCCGGGGCCCAGGCACGGCTTGCCGTCCCGCACCAGCACCGGCACCGCCACTCGCCTCGGAGCTAGCGGGCGGCCCGCCAGTTCCAGGGACCGGTCCTGGCGCTGCCTCTTGCACTTGTAGCGCCGGTTCTGGAACCAGATCTTGACCTGGGTGGACGTGAGCTGCAGCACGCCGGCCAGGTGCTCGCGCTCGGGCGCCGACAGGTAGCGCTGCTGCTTGAAGCGCCGCTCCAGCTCCAGCACCTGCGTCTGCGAGAACAGCACCCGTGCCTTCCGGCGCCTCCGCGCCACGGGCCGCTCCTCTCCGGGCTCCACCCTGCGCGCCTGCGCCCGGCTCCCGCCACCGCCTCCGGAGGACGAGGCCGCCGTCTGCCTGGGCTCTGAAAGCACAGGAAGGGACCGTCATCAGCGTCCAGTCCAAGCCCCGACTGAGCACTTCACAGACTGATAAACACATTCTCATCCCTAGAAGCCAGTGCTTAAGAAACAAGCTGTTTCTGCTGAGTATAATGAAAAATCTGGCAGAAATTTCTGGTCATGGTTGCACAAGGTGAGTGATGCAATTGATATGAAGAGAAATATACACGTGACAAATGTTGACTTTTCAAATGCTGTGAAGATATAAAACAAAAAAGTAGCATTCATAGAATAAAAGAGTATTATTAGGTCAAGGGACTTCACGCTTAGAAAGGTGGAGGGCCAGCGGAGGAGAGGAAGGCTCACAATGAGATGGGTTGAAGTGTCAGCCGCAAAAGACTCAAAAGTGTGGGGTTTAATAAGGATGGCGCAGGATAGAACAGAGTTCAGCTTTGTTGTCCTATTGGACTCCTTGGCAGTGAACAACAACAACAATAACAGAGCAAAGAGAAATACATGGAGAGTATCCATCTAGCAAACGAGAAGGCACAACAAAATGTACTTAAGTGACTTTCCAGGAAGCATGCATTTATATCGAGTGTTGGAATTATGGCAAAAAGTATGAAAAGAATGCTGAATGAGTTATAATAATTTCTAGACGAAACATTAAGAAACAAAAAAGTTATTCCCCACCTCCCTGAGGATCTTAGACCGCTTTCTCCCTCCTCTTCTTACCTGCCTCCACCTCCCCCAGGGCGTCTGAATGTCTGCTCGGCCCTCCCCAGACCTGCTCTAGGATAGTTTCCATAGCCTGTGGGAATTGTGAGCTCACTTTACCTTCCTGGTGTACCCACTGTTTTCCAAAACATGTATTAATAAAATATCTAAGGCATCTGTATTTTCTTTTTAGCTTGTAAGTGGATGGGTGGGAGGGCAGTTTGCTGAGATCTCAACCCTAAAGCATGGCAGAGACTCTGAAAGCTTTTGATGTTGCAAGACCAAGTGCTAATTTGGGTCTTTCTGGGAGGAACTCTCCATGGTCCTTTGGAAAGAAAGATCTGGAAAGGGAGAAAGATACCTCTCCAGGTCCAACGCCATCATGTTCCAGAAGACTGAAGATAAGGAAGCAATCTCCCGGGAGCTTCTCCCTGCCTCCTGGTCCCAGAGCAGGCCCCATGTGATTCCAGGATGTTTGGCTGCCGTCCTGGAACAAAGTGGCTCTCACTTTTGCACACATCTCTCATTTTAATCATAATCAGGGACTGGCAAGAAGCTGTGCTGTAATCCCAAAGGCACGTGGTTCGAGGCCACCAGCTGCTCCGTGGGAGAAGGATGAAGGATGGACCATCTTCTCCGGCAATTAATGGCCTCTGAAAACCCGCTGGAGGGTCAGCTATGGGTCGGTTCTGACCCAACGATACTCAATAACAACAACTCATCATTCTTGAGCATGATGCTCTGTAACCCAAATGAACAAAATAAAACCACAGTATAATTTTTATGCCTAACTTTTGGTTAAGGAGTTCTGGTAGTGTAGTTCATACCGAGCCGCGCTGCTAACCAAAAGGCTGGAGTTTTCTGGAAGTTGGAATCCACCAAGCCCTCTGGCTCAGAGGAGAGAAATGAGCAGTTTCCTAAGATTTCCTAAGATTCCTAAGATTTCCTACGGCCTCAGAAACCTGTGGAAGGCCGCTCTGAGCCAGAATCGGCTTGACAGCCGTGAGAGGAGCGCCAGGAGTCTGGGCTCTGAAATGGAGACTCTCATTGAGGAGTACTTCAAGCAGAGAGCCACACTGAACTTTTTAAAAAGTGTCCCCCTCTTCTCTTTGGGTTTCCTTGCTGAGGTTTTTGGCGAAGGTCTGGCATGTGCTCACCCAATCCGAAGATAGCTCCAAAATGAAACGGTTAAGAGAGTGTTCATGACACTGACTGTGGGCCCCAAGGCCCAAGCCTCGCCAGGATGTAGCCCTCTTTTCCCTTTTCCCGACCGTTCTGTCTTGGCTTATGATCTGTTTTAATGCAAGGTTGGATAGAGAGGGAATGTTGATTTATTTATTTATTTATTTTTAAAGCAAGCTCCCATCTAGAGAACTCCAAAAGAGGCCGGGAAGGGCACGCCTGGCTAGCGCGCTCTTGGCAGAGCCCGGCTGGTTCTGAAGCCGTGGTCTCAGGGAGGGCCTGTTCCGAATTCGACGTTCGTGCAAAGTCTTCCTCCAGACACGTTGTGCTCAGAGCCCGAGGCCGAGAAATTGTGGACAGTCCCTTGACAGGGAAAATAGCGACGAAACTTCATTTTCTTAGCAAATCAGAATGTAACGAACAGCCATGCTCTGGAGCAAGTAGGACTCCCTTTCAAAGGTTCTGAAGACCCAGACCGAGAATTACATGCAAGTGAGACTTGCATTCTAGCGACAGAGATGCGCTGCGGTTTTAAGCCTGAGTGGGTCCACCCCTACCCATCAGCCGCTCTAGCTCCGCGGACAGACAGACCAACAGACAGACGCCGAATCCACCGCGCAGCGCAACCGTTCGGGGCCCTTGTGTCCCTTCTAGCGTGTATGTTCAAAAAAGTTGCAAAGGACACGCCATTCGAGATCGCCAGCAAAAAAGAGGAACGTGCGCCCCGGGGGCTTGCAAGTGACTAAAATGATCCGAGGAGAAAGCTGATCCTTTCTCAGCAAAGCGAAATGAAAAAGTCATGTCCAGAGAGTTTAGTATCCGCGGCAGAAAACACAACAAACAGCTTTTGAGAGAGAAACGAAGTCTCTTTGCGGTCTTGGCTGTCGCTAAACCAGGCTGTAAACTGGGGGAAACTCCCCTCCGACGCCGAGATTTCGTTATCTCTTCTCCTGAAGGGCCCAGATCACCACGGGACTCGCCCTGCATAGCGCTCATGCCTCTCAGGGTACCCCAGCCCTGTCTCTCGGGGTATTCAGACCTTCTTCTTAGGGTACCCGCCCCATCCACCAAGAACTGGGATGGGCGTGGGAGGTGACATCTAGGGCCTCTTAGGGCCCCCACTTCCAGGTTCGTCTGCTTTGACCGGTTTTGATGTCGGGTTTTGAGCAGATGTCTTAGGGTAAAGAGACTCTTGGTGGGAAGAAACCGTGGCGTAAATGTGAGATGGAGAACAGATAAGGTATCTTAGGGGGTTTGCTGTGGCAAAGAGAAGCTGGAGGTTCTAGAAGCTGTGACCGAGCAGGGGCTGCGGGGAGAGCTGTTTTTGCGGGAATCTGCTGGGAGAGGGGGCTGTGGGCCTAGGACGCCAGGGCCATGTGATGCCCACTGGACACCCAGATGTGGTTTCGTGAACTTTCCAACTGAGGGGGGCTGCTCTCCTCGCCCAGGACAAGCGGGTTGCATCCCTTGTCCCTCCCCTGCCATCTCCCTCCCCGGCTCCGGGGAGAGCCCAGACCTGGGCGCGAACTCACGTGGCTCCTCCACCAGGTCGGCGTCCATCTCCAGGGGCGTTTCACCCGGACTCCGCAGAAGCTCCGACCCTTCCCGCGTCCTTCCGTCCATGCCGCCGCCGCTGCCCTCGCTGAGACCCTCACGTCCTCGCAGCCCCGGGTCCTGAGAGGTGTCCTGGCCCCAGCCAGCCCCCTGGAGTGGTGAGGCTCCGGGGCGCCTCTGTTCGCGCTCCAGCCGTAGGATGTCGCTGACCGAGAAGGGAGTGGAGGTGCCGGCGCGCAGCAGCATCCTGTGGGACCCGGGAGTCCCTGGTCCCCGCGAAATGCAGCACCGGAGTGACCTGGTTCTCTTCGCCGCCAAGTCCGAAGGACCCCAGCTCTGAGACTGACGCCTAGAGCTCTAAGCCACGGAGGAGTCACCGCTGGGGGACATGGGGTGGGGGGTACAGGAAAGGGGCTTCAGCACAAGCCCGACAACCCGATTGGTCCTACAGAAACCACGTGCTAATCCTGCACCTCCCCCTGCCCACTCCTGGTACCAAGTGCTTTCCCTCCGCACCCTCGGCCTCGCGCATCCCAGCACCCCCAGGAGGTTTGGATCCCTCTGACAGCAAAAGCAAGCCAAACGGAAGGAGGTGCTGCGCGCGGTCCCTGCATCCACAGGAGACAAGCTGAGATCGATTCCGGTTCCGCAGGGGATGCTTGTAGGCAGGGGCTGGAGGGAGGGTCCTCACTCTTTAAACTGACCGGGACCAACCAGCCTGGCCTTTACTCCTCACTCCCATAGTGTCGGACAGCAGGGCGCAGAGGGGTTTCAGGTGCGAAAGCACAGCCTGGTGCTCTGCCGCGCAAGCCAGCGCCCAAGGGCTGCATCGCGGAGGTAGAGCTGGAGTCAGCTTGCTGGGCCTAAATTAGGGCGGGAATGCCTGCCTCTGTTTAAAGGCCAGAGCAGAGTTAATGGGTGCAACCCACCAGCCTCCAACCAGAAGGAGCTCGAGAAGAATAAAAGTTTAAGAGCTAGATCTGCAGAGGCTCTGGTCTCTTTGAAGATTCGCCTTTAATTTTTCTCTTTGGAGAAAAGGCAGCCCATTGATTGCGGAGGTTCGGGAAAGGAGCTTAACTAGTCTTTCCTATTTCTGTATTCCTCCTCCTTCGCCACTTCCTCCCTGGAGCGATTACCCTTGAGAGTGCGTGCAGGCAGGTGTGTATAAAACGATGTCCCGGGAGGGATGGGAGGTCTTCATGCACTTTACATCCCCAGAAAAGCTCTTGGACACACTCTGTAAAGAGAGGCGGTGTGGTGCCCTGAACCTAGCATGCAGAGGAAGTCACTCGGCTTAGTCCTTGCTCTAGAACACGTCCATGGTGTGCTTCCGGACAGACTACTCAACCTCAGGTGCTCTCCTGGTGCACTGCAGAGTGTGTTGCGCTGCTGACGAAAAGTTAAGTGATTTTAATCTACCAATTGCCTTGAGGGACAAAGAGGAGAGAGGCTCCTCCAGCAAAAAGTTACAGCTTGGGAAAAACCGACCGAGAGCAGCAATCTATAAGAATGGGCGGCAATAGGGTGTTTAACCCCTCAGAACTTTGGCTTCATTACAAAATAGAAGACTGTGTCTATCTAATCATAGGATTAGTGGCAACAGTTGTTTGTTGTGCCTTGTCCAGTCAGAACCAACTCATAGCTGACCCTCCCATGGATTTTCAGAGGCTGTAAATCAAAAGAGAAGAGTTTGTCTATCTTTCTCCCATGGAGCTGGTGATGGATTTGAAGCTTCTTTCTTACCACTAATCCACCAGAGTTCTCTACTACAAAAATTAAGTAGTATAATGAATATGTTCAGAAGCCATCAAAGAATATCCATTGCTACTATTATTCATAGGTCACATGACCCAATTCTATGAAACAGAACCCTGGAGTGGGTGAAACCAGGTTAAGGATTTTGAAAGTCTGGGCACATACTTGGAGGATATTGCCAGGAGGAACTAGTTCTTGGAGAAGGACATTCTGCTTGGAAGAGTGGAGGGACATCACAGGGGAGATAGACCCTGGATGAGATGGATTGACTCGTGACTGGGGTAATGTGCATCAGAGACCACAGGACATGGTTCAGAGCTATTGTCCACAGGGTCGCTATGAGTCTTAGTCGACTCCGTAGAACAACATACAATGTTATGTAGCACAAAACAACAAACAACATTACTATTTACACGATAATCAAGAAAAGAGGATTCCTTACTCACAGTCCCAGACACAAAATGAAGTTTTTAATGTGTTAACATCAGAATGGGATCCCCTTAAAACTCTTGCCATTTCAGAGCAAATCTTCCTTAAGTAAACCTTATGCAAAGTCAGTATTCAAAGAATGATCTGGGCATTGCAGATCAAAATTGGTTCATCCTTCTCTACGAAGTAATGCATGAAGAATTTCTACAAATTTGCTTACTCACCCACTAGTAATGATTTTTTTACACATCGTATCATTTAGCCTTTTTCTTCTGTTAAAGACTGAACTGTGGTTCCTGACATCTATGCCTGTGCTTATAATCCCCCCTGGGGAATGAGCTGTCTTTGCTTAGTTAAAGAGACAGGATTAGTGTAGGATTAGTGTTTTAAGTCAATCTCTTTGGAGCTAGAGAAAATATTAAACAAATAAGCAGAGATAGACAGGTAACAGACCAAGCCCAATAGACATTGCTTAGGAATCAAAGCTCAGGAGAGACAAGGAGCTTCCTCTAGAGCTGAAGGACAGAGAATGCCTTCCCCTTGTTTATACTGACTCCATTAGATTTCTGAGTTTGTAAGTCTTAAGGCGACTCATCTTTCCTCTGTGAAACTGCTGTTAGATTGGAACTTTGGGAGCTGAGGGACCTAACACAGTTCTGGTTCCCTCAAGTGGTGTTTGGTTAGCTCATAACTGACCCTCCAGGGGGGAATTGCCCATCTTTCTGCCATGGTGCAACAGGCAGATTTGAACCACCTGATCTTGGATTGTTGGGTAGCTCCTGGCCAGCAGGCCCCCAGAACTCCCCATCTAGAGCTAGCACCTAAATTTGCACTTCTAATCTGAACAGTGATAAAATGTCTTTTTTTGGGTGTTAAATTGATCCACTCTTGGCATTTCTTTTACAACTGCACTAGGAAAGGTCAGCGATGGAAAGGGACTCCTTCAAAGAGATGGATTGTCAGGATGACAGTTGCAATGGGCTCAAGTGTGTCAGAGATAGTGAGGACAGCACAGGATAGGACAGGGTTCAGGTCTGTTGTTCATAGGGTCTCTATGAGTAATATTCGACTGAATGCCACCTAACAACAACAACAACATGAGTGGGTGTTCTGCTCCCGCCCACCTCCAGCAGACTGAGAACACAGAGGTCAGTTCTGAGCTCCAGAGGGCGAGTGGGGAGAAGAGGCCATGGATAAGAACATGATGCCACAAGCCTGCAATTCCCATCAGGGATCATTGTACTGCATTACAGAAAGTCCTAGAAGAACATCTCCACAGGAAGGACTTGGAAGGTCAAAGGTCCTGACTTCAGATCATTACTTCAGGTTCCAGGTCTTGCCTTTTTTTCCTGGTTAACTGAGAGTGTCACATGAAATAACACTAGAAACAGACCCTTTCTAACCCCTAGTGTAGTACAAACATGATTCCTCCTTGTGAGAATCACAGACTCGGGAGAGACTTGGGAGTCAAGCGGAGCAGACCTGGCAGACGTGTTGTTATTGCACAACTGCTGCAGTGGTGTAGGAGGGAGCTTGGGACTGGGTGTTGAGTCTCAGCTCAGGAGCTCTTGCCTATCCTCTACATCACTTCCACTGTTATAGCAGACTCCCAGATGCTGGGCTTTCCAGGCAAGCTGGGGACTTCTGCATCCCTGTCCCTCTCTCCCTCCAGTGTCGGGAGCGGAGCGTGAGAGCATACTCCCTTCTTATCTATCCCAGGTCAGTTAGTGCAGCCCGAGAGGCTGCTGGGTGGCTGATACGCAGCATTCTGGACCTGATAACCTGTTTGAATGGGGCACCAGGGCTGGGAATTGGGGGTGGAAGGCAGGGGCAAGGTAAGGCGTGAAGTAGGAGAAGCTGGAGGCTCTGCAGACTGAGATGCGTGTAGCACAGACCAAGTGTTGTTGGGTGGTGGTGAGTTCCATCTGCCAGCCTTAGGTTCAGCAGTCCAAAATGTCATAACTACACTAAGCCACCAGGGCTCCTCAGAGTTAAATTATTTGCATCCTGTTCTTAGTCTCCCATTAAATTTTAAGAAGTCTTTATGTATGAGTGATTTTAACCCATTATGTTAGAGAGGACCCTCATTGTACAGTCGTTAAAGCTCTCAGCTCTTGGATGCATGTATCCTCTAGCTCTTTAGAGAAAGCTGTGACGCTCCACTTCCATAGAGATTTGCTTTGAAAATGCTCCTGAGCCCTTGCGCTCAGTCATGGGGCTGCCATGGCTATGAGTTGGATTGTTTCAACATGGTGGGTTTGAGTTTCATTTTGTTTGATCTAGGATGTTGTTGTTGTGTACCATAATGTGGGACCTGACCCACAGCTGACCCTTGGTGGGTTTTCAGAGGCACTTAATCACTCAGGAGGAATTTTCCCATCCTTCCCCTGTGGAGCGGGGGTGGCCTCGAACTGCGTACCTTTGGGATTGTAGTGCAACTTCTTGCCAATCTAGGATATATGTTGTAAATAGTTTCTTCCTGGATATCAGTTGCCTTTTGACTTCTTATATGGAGCTTTTTCTTATACTAAAAAAAAAATAGTGTGTTTATATTTATTAAAATTTTCAATCACTTGTATGTTTTGTGGTTAGTGAGGTTTGAGACTCGTCAAGAATTCAGATTTGTTTTCTAGTACTCACATTTCGATCCCTCGTCTATTTGGAGTTTGGATGAATGTATGATGTGAGCTGAGGTTCTACTTTTATCTTTTGCCAAATAACTGTGGAGACATGTGATGAGGATGGTACAAGATACGACATGGTTCAGAGCCATTGTTGATTAGACGGAACTGAATAACCCCACGTGTGGGGAATCCTTTTAACAGCAACCTTTATTAATTTCAGAGGCACTTTCCCCCTGAAACTCGCTGGGAGGGGGAAGAATCTCAAGTTTGGAGGAGGAATGGAAAGTAGAAAAAGAGGCTACCTAGTATCGTCTTAGAAATAGTCTTTTTTAAAAAAAAAAATCCGATAATATTGCAGCTAAGTAAGATTCTCCGCTTTTTGCCTATCACTTCTCCACAGTCAATTTGTCCAACTTTGGGATCACGGAGAAGGTTGTT